CTTGGCGCGCCTCAGACTTTTAATATCACATTATATATATATATATATATATATATATATATATATATATATATATATATATATATATATATATATATATATATCTTTGCTATACTAGAGATTAAAAAAACATGCAGAACATAATATTAATACTAGATAAAGAAGCAAAGAAGAGAGGGCTAGTAATAAACCAAAGCAAAACGAAACACCTCAAGTGTTCAAGAGAGAATACGAACATAGAGAAAGAAATTAAGCTTGGTGCATATACATTTGAAAGAGTACACCGTTTCAAATACCTGGGAGTGATGGTAAATGACAGAAATGATAGAACAGATGAAATAAATGAACGCATCCTACTGGGTAATAAAACCTACTGGAACTACCAAAAATTCCTGAAAGAAAAACACATTAGTAAGAAAACCAAATTAAAAATTTACAAGACTGCAATCAGGCCAGTGATCACCTATGGTGCAGAGACGATGTGCCTAACACAAAAAGATGAAATGAGGTTAGAAATCTTAGAGAGAAAGATAATTCGACGAATAATGGGGCCAGTGAGGATAAGTGTAGGCGAATTTAGAAGATTAACCAATGAAGAAATTAAAGAAGTCATCGAGGGTGAAGACATAATCAAGTTCGTTAAGACGCAAAGGCTCAGGTAGCTGGGGCACACAGAAAGAGCTAACCCAGACTCTACGCTAAAGCGAATAACTGGATGGAGACCAACAACAAAGAGACCAAAGGGGAGACCCAAAACAAGATGGAGAGATCAAGTCTTAGGAGACCTAAAGAAGCTGAGAATCTACAATTGGAAGGAGCGCTGTAAGGATCGGAAAGAATGGAGGAAAATTGTAGACAGGGCCAAGTCACACACGCTGCTATAATAATAAAAAGAACAACAGCGGACTGATTCTCCGCAATAAATGAATCAGAGAACCCAAAAGGGCGGCAAACACTTCGCCAGGAGTGAATAAGCCATGATGATGATGATGATATATATCTTTGCAGATTAGTTAAGCTATAAATATTTGGGAAATCGGCAATCAAAATCTCAATGTGTATCAATTGTACTGCCTATCATTTTCGCAAATGTTTATTTACTTCTTCAGGACTGAAAGAAAGAAGAAAATATCACTTAGCCATAATATGCATGTCCTATGCAAAATTTTAGTTGTATTACAAATACGTTGAATTGTAGAGCTAAGGTCGTCAGTATTAAAGTAAGTTAAAAAGGATATATTGTGAAAAGGTATAAAATCTCTATTGTTGTTGGAAAGAAAAAACACTAACACAGCACTCTACAGTTCACCAAAAATAGCTGAAAGTCTGAAATTATAACTGCCTGCGCGAACAATGAAGTGAGAACGCACTCGGAAGGAAAAATATAGCATGTACGCGCGGGTGAACTTTAAAATATAGGTACAATCGGAGACACAAATATAGAAACGTAAAGTTTGAATAGTTTTTAATAGGTCCCGTATACAATTATTATTACTGTCATTACTTTTCTTCAGTATATTTGTGGTATTTGTTCTACAAAGTGAGTAGTAAAAGATAGATCCAACAAAAACCGCTTGTGTAGCTATAAATTATGGCATTTTAAACCAAAAATTATATTTTTATATTTACCATTTATACTTTATATTACCATTAGATTGACCAAAAGGTTTCGGAGAAAAATGGCGTAAGCAGTAGAGTAATAAAGTAGTAATAAAATCGTCTAACGCAATACTAATAGAAATTAGATGTTCGGTTACAGTGAATATGGTGTCTTTGTACCAGTACCTTTTGTTAAAAGCGGCCTTTATCTTTGAATATTTACCCAAAGTATGAAAAAAGTGTAAACTCTAAAAACAGGTCAATTTAAAGAGAACTGCGTATATATATTTAAAAATACGATTTGCTATCACTTCCCGTGTCTGATTATTTAAAACTTTTCCCTAAAGATTCGATTTAAACTCCATGTTTAATATAGGTACACAACACAGATTTGCAAATGACTCTTCTTTGCGATTAGTACTTACAAAAAATGTTTCGCAGACTATACCGACTTGTTCACGTCACAAACAGTAGATATTAAGTGGACGCTCAGTGCGAGATTCGTCGGATAACGAATGCGCATCATGGGCGTGGTTATTTTCAGACGTTCAGCTATTTTTTGTGAACTGTACCCAGGAATATATGACTTGTAACGATCTTACGAAGTTTATCTCAAGGAACCAATTTCACAAATGCATATGATTACATTTTGTATTCAGATGTTCAACTTTTCAATTATCTTCAAAACTAATGAATATAAAAATGAAATGAAAATCTTTTTCATACATCTCAAAATGAGTTTAATCGATATTTAAAAAGCAACAACCTACCTTCCTTGGTCTTCCCATCTTTTTCTTAGGTACGGGCGAAGCAGTAGCTGAGTCTGCCTCGCTAGGAGTCTCAACAGCAACGGGCTCAGGTTCTTTTTCTTTAGGAGGACTCATCGTCTGTAAAAAGATAAAACAATCACGGTAAAATAAATAAAAGGCGAAGATATCAGCGCGTCTAGTACTAAACTACTTCATTATGACAATAATTTTTACTCGGATGTCGAAAACAGTATGACTGATTTCTTAGTGTTAACAGGTATTTCTGTTGAATTTTTATCATAAAACTATTTGGCATCTTCTAAACTTGTTTTGGACTCCTCATTATTTGCCAAGTGTTGTACCTATCCTTGGATACTGAAAGTATGTACTCAGAAAGGTCTTAAAGATCCTTCAGTTTTTTAGATGGTTTGGAAGTCTATATTTTTTATAGCCCTTTTTCTATCCGAATTGTCGAATAAAGGCCTCTCCCATTTCTCGCCATTCATCCCTGTTGTGTGCTAGGCGTTTCCACATTGGTCCTGCGACTCTTTTGATATCGTCGCTCCAGCGCATTTGAGGTCTTCCTCTTGGTCTCTTCGCATCGTACGGTCGCCAGTTTCCGACTTCTTTGTTCCATCTACCATCTTCGAGACGTTCGTTGTGTCCAGCCCATTTCCATTTTAATTTAGCTGCTTGTTTCGCGGCGTCCTTTATTTTTGTTTTGTGTCGGATTGCTTCGTTCGTTCTTGCCGTTCGTATTGCCGATCTATTAGTGAGATACCAAGCATCTGTCGTTCCATGGCTCGCTGAGTTTTTCGAATCTTGTCCATGTTCTTTTTTGTGAATGTCAAGGTTTGAGCTCCGTAAGTGAGAACGGGAAGGATACAAGAATCGAACACTTTGGTTCGAAGGTTTTGGGATATCTTTTTGTCTTTCAGTATGTATGAGAGTTTTCCAAATGCGGTCCATCCCATTCTTACTCGTCTGCTTATTTAGGTAGTTTGGTTTTCTTTGTTTACCTTGATATTCTGACCCAGATATTATATGTATTCTTCTACATGCTCCACTTTTGTTCCTTGGATGGTTATCGTCGGTTAATCATCTTTATTCGACATTAGCTTAGTTTTACTCAGATTCATTTTCAGTCCTTTTTTTATGGATTCCGTATGAAGCTCATCGATCATCGTCTTCAGTTCTTTCCAGCTGTCGGCTATTAGTACTACGTCATCTGCATATCTTAGATGGTTTAAATACTTTCTGTTTATCGATAGTCCCTTCGTTTCCCAATTTAGTGATTTAAAGATGTCTTCAAGTGCGGCAGTAAATAGTTTTGAGAGATATGGTGTCTCCCTGTCTTACTCCTCGGTTGATTTTTATTGGCCTCGTTTTCATTCCGTTATCCAATGTGACTACCATTTCAGCGTGTTGATATATATTATGTAGTAATATCCTATATCTAGAATCTATTCTGCTGTTGACCAGTGCTTCCTCAATAGCCCATAATTCTATGCGGTCAAAAGCTTTCTCGTAGTCTATAAATGCTAAACAGATGGTAAATTGTATTCGTTAACTTTTTCTATTACGACCTTTAGTGTGTGAAGATGGTCACATGTACTGAACCCTTTTCTAAATCCGGCTTGCTCTACTGGTTGATATACATCGAACTTTGTTGTCAATTTATTTGTAATTATTTTTGTGAATGTTTTATAAAGTTGTGATAGTAGTGATATTGGACGATAATTTTTCAGATCTGTATTGTCCCCTTTTTTGTGTATTAATATTGTGTTAGCAGTATTCCATTCCTTTGGTATGTTTCCTTCAAATAGGCATTTATCAAAAAGTATTTTTAGGTACCTGATGACTTCTTCTCCGCCTTCTTTCAACATTTCTGCCAGAATTCCATCACTACCCGGTGCTTTATTTCTTTTCAATTCTTTAATTGCATTTTCTATTTCTACTTCGCTTATTTCGGGCATTACTTCAGAATTTACGTTTGTTATTTGTCTTTTCAGATTTTGCTTTAAAGAGTCGGGGGGAAGTCTATATACCGAAGTCTAATAACGTTGTATATATTGTGACACATCAAAACTGTACCTTTTTTCTACTTGTGGACAAGTTTATTATTTTGCCACAGTAAAGGTTTATTGAACGAAGTCTTAAAAAAAACCTGCTTACAGGTATAATTTGTAATTCTGTATATCACATACACATAATGTAAATGAAGTCTGCTGAACCTAACCAATCCACTCTTCGGGCCAATATTTTTTCTTTTTCTATCAAACTAAATCTTAAGTAACATGGAAGGAATGAGCGACCTCTTTCTGGAAACCTATGATGTAATTTTTCAAAAGGTCTAGTTGCTGGTCTACTCTTTTCTTGTCGTCATAAATATACACAGATGAATTTCCAGTTTTACCAAAATAAAAACATAGGAAACACACAAAAGGAAAGTTCTATTGATAATAAAACATGATTGCATCAACAGACTTTGCAGTTGCACAAACTTAGATCTTCCTTTTGTTCAAACGAAGATTATGTTTCGTTTTTATCCTACTAATCTAGATATGATTTGTTTAAAATTGGTCCTAGATGGCCAAACCTTAGATTTTTGTATAGTTTCCAGAAATTCTTCCATTTACATTGTAACCATGTCTAAATAAAGAATATTAAATCTGCACCGGGTTTTGCGTTTTCTATATAACAAAATCTTACCTTGCGAGTTCTTCCTGGTTTTTTCTTCTGTGTAGCTGCCTCTTTTTCTGCAGTTGGCTCAACTTCTTTTGACTGATCGCCTGCTGGACTTATCGACTGAAATTTGTACCATATTGTATGTAAAATATGTTAAAAATATAATCAATGATTTAAGCAGTTTGATTTTGTTTAAAAATGAGGATTACCGATGTACAGTTTTTTGACTTCTCTCGACAATGAACTCGCATTTATAAAAAATCGTTTTTAATAAAAATTTTAAAAAATCATAAAAAGTTCCGGTGGTAATACAATTTTAATTAATAAATGATGTATAAAATATATATTCTTTTTTTAATACACTTCTCGAGATACCAAAGTTTGGACATCATTGTTTGGACAACTCTACAAGAGAAGGAACGGACCTCCATCGCCTCTGATGATAATGACTCCTAAAAAGGGAAAATAGTCAACATATACAGCTGGGAGTCATCTTTGGGAGTGAAGAACACCCTGACTAGTGATTTAGAACCCTAACGGAAAAGCAACTAAATATGAGTATTAAAATCATCCAGATGCATACACATAACTCCAAGGCTTATTGTGAGGTGATCTTCCGGACATTCACCAAAAACCAAATAGAGATCGTACTGTCCCAAGAACCTTGGATGCATCCGAGGCGGGTGAGAGTGCTTTTATGCCGAGAAAATAAGATAACATATAACAATAAAAACAACTTTAATGTCTGTGTTTCAGAATTTATTAAGAGAAACTTAGTGTCAATTAGAGCATCTCGATTTCAAGAATTTAAGAGAAGTAATATCACCACCAGAAATACAGGGATTAGTCCATTGCCACTAGTCATAATTTTGTTATGATACAAATGCATACTATCTGGACGAGTAAAGATATCAACTTAAGAAATGAGCAACTTTTGGAATATATTCTTGAGTCTAAAGTTTTTACCAGTGACACTACTAAGTTTAAAGCCATCTAAATTGGAAGTACATTTGAGAAGAGAAACGTCAGAAGAGTCCCAGGCTGGACAAAATGTTTAGCTTCGACGTCACAAAGAAACGATGATGATTTCGAGCGTCTTACAATATCTCGATGCTTATAGTAAAATCCTGAAAACCGCATACTATTGGAGAACAGTTAATTTTGCAAAATGTTGAAGAGGTTTTAAAAACTGTTTTACACAAATCTGCAACTAATATCATTAAATTTTTTGTTTAAAGACGATGAACAATAATTGAGTATAAATTTTATTTAAACAAAATTTAAAATTTGCTTACCCTCTTTGGTCTTCCTCTTTTTCTAAGCACAGGTGAAGGTGTATTCGATTTCGCCACTGACAGACTCCCTCTTAAACTAACACTTTTCCCTGCGTCTATTGAAGACACTGAATCATCTTTGCCCTCATCCAATAAAATTACACTGCCGCTATCCTGGGACCTGGAATCCTCACTAATTGTTATAGGAGAATCTAGCTTGGACTCTATGATCTGAATATCTTCTGCATTATCATTTTCTTTTTGTTTTATCTTATCATTTATATTTTCTTTTCGAGATCGTTTAGCTTCTATTGGACATTCGAGACTTTGATCTCGTTGTGAAACCTTTGACTCAGTCGCTGAATTTGATTTGCTTTCACCTCCTACAATAAATCACATATACAATAATTAAATATGTAGACAAAAAAAATTAATGTTTTTGAACTTGCATTTCATGGTTTTGACAGGAAATATTTTTTTAATAATATAAAAAACTGAAAAACTGAAAGTGAACTTCCTTTAAGGTTTGTATTTTTCTTTAGTGTGAATCAATGCACCCGGCAACCATCAATCGCTCTATATTTTGTGTATTTGGAAATAATGCCCATAATCGGCTAAGAAAGAATGTTGTCTTGAATTGGGCGGTGTTTCGCAATAATTTGGGCATATTATTGAAGTAAAGGTGGCAATAAGATTGTACTCCGTCTGTTCTGTTAATGTAACGGATATTCGAAGGAAAAATACAGAATATACTTAGTATAAGAGATGTTATAGACCGATGTAAAGACTAAGTCTTTACAACGCTATGATAAGTTGAAAATTCAAAACGACTCGTCAACCCCATTTAAAATACATAGGGGTTAAGGCAGGGAGATGCGCTGGCGTTTCAGCTTTTTAATGTCGCCTTAGAAAAAGTTGTACAAGACGCTAATTTAGATAGCAGGCGAACAATATTTAATAGATCAGTCCAAATTCTAGCATATGCAGACGACGTGGATATTATAACAAGAACCAAGGCGAGAACTGCGGAAATCCTAACCGAGCTAGTAGCAGCAGCAGAACGAATGGGGTTACATATAAATCAAAATAAAACCAAATTCATGGCGACTAACACAAACACAAAAGCTGGAAATGTTGACGCAGATTTAATCATCAATGACCAAAACTTCGAAGCAGTCAATGAGTTCATATATCTAGGGACATCGGTGAACCCCAATAATAACACATCTGAGGAAATAAAAAGGCGAATAGTAATTGCAAACAGGTGTTAGCATGGTCTATCAAAATACTTAACTAACAAACGTCTGTCTCAAAAAACTCGTATAAGGCTGTATAGAACACTGATAGTCCCCGTCCTCACATATGGATCAGAGGCATGGACGCTAACTAAAACAGATGAATCCGCTCTATCGATTTTTGAAAGAACGGTGCTACGCAAGATATTCGGAGCGGTCTCTGAGAACGGAATATGGAGACGTAGATACTTTGAACTGCATAATATCTGCAAGCATACGTTTGGTGGTAAAGATATTACCACTATAATTAAGCGAAACCGCCTGAAGTGGGCAGGACATGTAGCCCGCGCCCCTGAATCGAACATGATAAAAAAGATTCTAACAGCGCAACCCGTGGGAACGAGAAGACGGGGTAGACCAAAGCTGAGGTAAATGGACGGAGTAACACAAGATACCGAGAAGATCGGAGTCGGCAACTGGAAAATGCAAACAAGGGACAGAATAGAATGGCGTAGAAAGCTTAAGAAGGTCGAGGCCCTCTAAGAGCTGTAGCACCAAGATGATGATGGAGAGATGTTATAATAAATAATAACATCTTTAAAAGACATTTGGTAAGGGTAAGAATATACTCTTACTTGCTAAAAAATGTCAAACTGCCTTCTTGTAATACTTCCTGTTGCATAAACAACGAGGCCCTGACGACCAATGACTACCGGAATAAGAAGTACTTCACTTCCCAGTAAACAGGTTTGTGGAAGAATTGGATGGGCCAACTCGTTATCCTGGAGTCAAGAAATTGGTCCAAAGGCAGATGAACTAATGCAATTAGTCAACATCTACATTAGGATGCAGAAGTCACCACAGGTAACCACTGCATTGAGGAATCTGATCTCCGGGAGGAGCAAACTGGCAAGTATGAACAATGATGTAAAGTTACACAATTTTTGACAATAATGTACAAAATTTAAAGTAAAACTGGACGAATCGCAAAAAGTGGATTACCAGACATGGCTTATATACCATCAAGTGTAAATAAAAGTGTGAGCTTTTTGTAAAAGGTATGATTTAAAAGCCTATAAAAAGCATCATTTTTTTAACCAGGTATTGATAACATACCAGCCGAAATTTTCAAAATTGGAGGACACACACTGATAGACAAGCTCAGTTGCGGAGACTACAGAGGCATATCCTTACTGTGTGAGCCATAAGGTACTTACATGGGTTAAAAACGAGTTCACTTTGACTACTTCAATGTAGACAAGTCTATAACATAAACAGAGAAACTATATTTCTTGATGCAAGAACTTGATGTATCAAGGAAATTAGTAAAATTAATTCAAGCCACCATGACCAGAAGTGCAATATGAGTCCAAAAACAACTGACAGATCCTTTACTGGGCTAACTGAAGGGCTAAATCAGCGTGACAGAAACAGAAACAGGCAGAAAATGTATTTAAACCCAAAAAATATATTATTTAATTATGCAGAATCAGAAAAGAGTAACTCTTCTGAGCTTATAAATACAAACAACGGGGACGATCAGAAAGGCGACATCAGTCGCTGATTCTGTCTCCACCCCAAATACTTAGCCAGACGGCGTTCCGAGGGGAACAGACTCTGAACCAAGTATCCAAAAACGCTTCTTTGGAGCTCACCTGAAGGGGATGAAGAAAGAGGCAACAATAGTTTCTGGGACATGGTCCACAGCAAAACTACATAAAACCAATACGATGATACCGGCAAAACCCGAGGGTAAAAAGAGACCTCGGGAGAATAGCATTAACCCCAACGCCTTACGGCGACAAAGAGTCGCCAAAAAACCAAGGAACACTAACGAGCAGATTAAGTCATATAGCAATGCCACAAAAGTATTGGCGGTGGAACACATATCCCATCCTGATACTCAACTAGATCAGGCTCAAGCAGACCTGATCAGCAACAAGCTGGAATGAGGTTATTATCGGAAGTCAGAATCAACTTTTGCAGTTCCATAAAACATCGTTTAGGGCAGGATAGGTAAACTCTGCTGAGTATACCAGTGCTGAGGACTACAGAAGGCCTGTTGGAGGTAGCAGTCTTAAATTTAGTCGATGATAAGCCGAGGAAAAACTGATAAAGCAGTTATCAGAACCCGTCTAAGGAAACAAAATCAAGAACTTGAGACTAAAAACTGTTTGTTGAAAAATTGGAAAATCAGGGAGGACGCGCAAACCTTAGTCTACACGATCGACAAGGTATTCTATACTCATTTCAAGACGCATTACTGGTATCGTTTAAACCGATCACAGGCCTCGATGGCTACAACCAGAGTCCTCCAGTTGAACCTCCCCCCATAGTATGGCAACTTAAAAAATAAAAAATTAGGTAAAATAAACAAATTAAATCTCACTTGAGCTATATAAATCATTCTGATTTATCCAATACTTCTACAGAAGGAAAAGGACCTGTAAAAAGGGTTATGGGATACATACCAAAGGCATGGAGGCTAATAAGGGTGGATTTTATACCCAAACCTGGCAAAACCGGATAGGAAAAATCTTAGTCCCTAAGACCGATCTGCTCATTTGTACTGAAGACTAGAAAAATTGCACGATAGGCATATTAGATATGGTGTATGGGTTGAAAGCTCGATACATCAGGGACAGTATGCGTATAGAGCAGAAGCCTCTACACGGAAACGGCACTAGACAATCTCGTACAGAGGGTAGAGAATGTTCTGAAAAAAAAAGAATAGGTGATGTTGGGTGCTTTTCTCGATATATAGGGAGCTCATAACACCTCCTACGAGGCAATAACACGCTCTAAAAGGAATAAAAGAAATAAAAATAAGTAACCAGAGGCTCCCCGACGTGAGGAGCCTTATTTTTCTCTTGGAACTTGACCACGGATGAGCTGATAGCTAGACTTTGCAACGACAGGTATCATGTCTATGCGGATGTCATCTTGACCCACGGTCAATTTAATGGCACAGTCATAGTGTAATGACACACACATAGAATGACACAGGCTATAGTTACAGAATGGGCTTCAAATGTAACCTATCTTGGGGTAATATTAGACTCGAGGCGTATAGAACGAATAACCAAGAGAGTCGTAACTACGTTAATAGTAGCTAAAATGCACACGAAAAATGTGGAGTTTAAAACCAGATTATATTGGATTTATAACATGCTGGTAAAACCAACAATTACAAATGCATCAATATTGGTATGGTGGCTCTAATCCTTAATGGTACACATCTAAATCTAGTGAGTGAATTAAAGTATATTGTTGTAAAATCTAACGGCTTACTTGGAATCAGTAGATAGAACGAATATCATAGTAGATAGAGGCATGAAATACCATTCCAAGCGGACATTTGCCCACGAGAGGGATGTGGCAGAGAAAACACTCGGCCCAGACTGCCGGGTTATACCTGGTACACAGACGGGTCTAGTGGAATTTTGAACATTTCCATTCCTCTGTATTTTAGGTAAAAAATGTTGCAATCTGGCAGTGTGCAAGGGAACTTAAAACATGAGGGCGTTCCAACTAAAGCGGAAAATATTTGCCCATCTGGCAAAGCAATAATGGAGGCTTTTATAAGCTCTAAACTAAACTCTAGGCTAGTTTGGGAATTCCGAGAGGAACTCGACAGACTGATGTAACATAACACTCCACAAGGAAACTAAATTCCTATAGTTGGCTGTATACCATGTATCACAAAAAAATTGTATTTAAAAAATTTCCTTTATAAAAGGTATAATAATAAAAACCCTATCGGGTTACATCACAGATCGTTTTCGGAATAACTATTCCATCATCAATGCTATCTGGATGTACATGTTTGAAGCCACTAAATATATGGGCAAAAACCCTTTAAATGTAGTTTGATTAACTTTGAATTACATGTTTGATATTTAAAAACTAGAGGGTAGCCAGACAGGAGTTTTCTGACCCGGAAAACTAGTACCTGCTTCGGGTTCCTTGTCCAGGGTCACGGATGAAGACCACGACGGTATCCACGGCGGAGAAGAACATCTTCGGTACGGTGTGTATGGCGGAAGTGGCAACCCAATTTTATGGTTAGTATAAAATTAAATGTAGCGTCTGATCCAGAGTGGACGGCTACAAACAGCGTCTGATCCAGAGTGGACGGCTACAAACAGCCTCTGACCCAGAATGGGCGGCTGATAACTCACTCACCAACCCGCTTTTACAAAAAGAAACCCCAACGAAAATGGACATGGATCAGCCCTAATGGATCCACAAACAATGAGATCGATTAAATACTGTCCACGGAACGATATATCATTAAAGATGTAACAGTTCTTAACAGATTCACAACAGGTAGCGATCATAGGATGGTCAGAGCAAAAATTAGTATTGACGGTAACTATGAAATGAAAAGAAAATAATTAGAAACTGGGATCTAGTAGATAGAAACAAACTAGGACAATGTAAAGAGATATACAAAGACCTATTAAAAGAACAACTTACCCAAAAATTAGACAGTGATGATCAACATATAGACGAAATAGACAACATACTTACAACAACGATGATTACATCAGGAACAGAAATGACAAAAAAGGATCTAAAAAAGAACAACTATATATCAACAGAAACAAAGAAGCTTATGGATAGCTTAAAGAAGGAAGCTGAACGAAAAAGGCAAAAGGAAATCTATAGAATATGTAGAAATCAATAAAACAATAAGCAGAATGATAAAAGAAAATAAGAGAAAAGAACAAGAAATAAAAATAGAAGAAGTAATACAGAACAACAAAAATATGAAATGCTTAAGGCCGAAATTAGGTAAGTTTGAAATAAACAAAATAAAAGATGTAAATAGAGTAGTAACAAACGTTAAAGATGATAAATATAATCTATCATTTCTACTCAGAATTATATAAAACAAAAAAGGAACAACAAGAAGAAATTAAAAACCAACTTAAGGATAAAATAAAAAATGTCAACTCAGAGCTACAGCCACAAATAAGCAAATCAGAAATAAAGAAGGCATTGAAAGAAATGAAAAACAACAAATCGCCGGGAAAAAATGGAATAACTGCAGTGATGTTGAAATATGGTGGAAAAGTGGTAATTAATACTCTACATTCCCTTTTTAACAAGATATTAAAAGAAAAAAGAATCCCAAACAACTGGAAGGAATCAGTATCCATTATCCTACATAAGAAAGGGGATAAAGCAGATATAGAAAACTACCGTCCTATAACACTCCTCGATGTAATGTATAAACATCCTAACAAAAATTTTAACCAATAGATTGACGACAAAATTCGACGGATACCAGTCGAAAGAACAAGCTGGTTTTAGAAAGGATTCAGCACAAGTTTTACTAAGTACAAAAATACTTATAGAACGAGCAAATGAATACCACATTCCTCTATATATGGCGTTCATAGATTTCGAAAAGGCTTTCGACAGTGTCTAACATTGGGCAGTGAAAAGTTCTTTGATTAACAGCAGAATTGACCACAGATATACGGTACTAATAGCCAATATATATAAGGAAGCCAAAACAACAATTAAAGTATATGAAGGAACAAAATCAATACAAATAAATAGAGGCGTGAGACAGGGTGACACAATATCAGCGGAACTTTTCAATCAGGCTCTGGAAGATACTTTTAAAAGATTAGAATGAGAAGAAAAAGGTATAAAAATTTGTGGACAACGCTTGAACCATCTAAGGTACGCTGATGACATCGTATTGATAACCGATAAAAAAGAATAATTATTTGAAATGATAAAAGAACTGGACGTAGAAGCTGGAAAGATAGGCATTAATATGAATTACAGCAAGACCAAAACCATAACAAATACAGATGAAGACATCACAATGAGAATCGGACAAGATAAAATAGAACAAGTTCAGGATTATATATATCCGGGTCAAACTATAAAACTTAACAAAGAAAACCAAATAGCAGAGATAAAAAGATGAATTAGACTGGCCTGGGCGGCATTTGGCAAGCTAGGCTACATTCTTAAAAACAAAAGATATCCACAGCATCTTAAGACCAAAGTATACAGTCAATGCATACTCCCTGTTCTTACTCATGGTTCCCAAACGTGAACATTTACAAAAGCAAACATGAACAAAATCATAAAAACACAAAGAGCAATGGAAAGACAAATGTTGCACATAAGACTAATGAATAAAGAGAAAAATGAGTGGATAAGAGACAAAACAAAAGTGAGGGATGTTAGACAAGAGGTTGCAAAATTGAAAGGGAGATTTGCCGGACACAATATAAGACAACAAGAAGACCGATGGAACAAAATTCTTATAAGTTGGAGACCGTGGGAATATAAACGAAGCAGAGGAAGGCCCCAAATCATATGGGCAGATGATATCAAGAAGCACGTGGGCTCTAGGTGGATGACTGTAGCGATAGACAGAGAGGAATGGAAAAGGATTGAGGAGGCCTATGTCCAAAGATGGACCGAAGAAGGCTAATTAGATAGAGATTTAAAAACTATTGTGTTTAAGTTACAAAAAAAAAATTGATCACATGGCAACGTAGGACTCCACTGGGATTGCTAGTCCTTAGACGACCTGTATGTGAGGACTTGTTGATAGAGCATTTGTGTGAGAACTTGGGAAGGATATAAGGCTCTTATTGCCATTCAGCCTTCAGTCAAGTTTTAAGTCCAAAATTACAAGAAAGGTGAGCATTTAACAAGTAAAGTATGTAGCAGTTGGCCGTTATTTGTCTGCTGTATTTAAATTAGCTAACTATTTTCAATAATAAAATAAATCGTTGCTAACTGATTTGTAAATTATTGATTTAATGTTATATTTCCATAGTCTAAAATTACTTAATGTTGTTGATAAATGAAATCATTGTTCACTTTCTGAAAACATTGCAAGTTAAAGATAAATGTTCGTGACTTGTTTTGTTGTTAAACAATTTCTACTGTTTTATTTTCACACCTCTGAATAATAGTAAATAAGTCCGTATAGAATTCTTACATTACAATAGAACACATAGAAACTTGGGAACTGCATTTTTATTTATTTCGTGATGATGTACTTTATACCGTTCTTGTGGTTTTCTTAAATTTTTTAAAAATGTAGAATTACCTCTTGTAGATTATTGTTTCAAAAAGAAAGTTACAGCAATTGTTGTCAATTAAAAATTGAAACTAATCAAAATATAGTTTAAACAAATAAAATACTTCTTTTTTAACATACCTTCAACGTATTCTTTATGCCTAGTGGATCTAGTTGACACAACAGCATCTGTATCGACTTTCTGCTTCTTATTTTTCTCAGGAACAGGCAACTCCTCTTGGTGTCTTTTTAATGGATTATCATCACCTTGTTGCACGATATGGTGTCCACCCTCCTTTGAAAATTTAACAGTTATCTTAGCCAATCTTTCAGATTTATCTTCATCGGTGGGATGTTCCCTTTTTTTAGGGTCCTTAGTTGGACTTACAGGTAGATTCCCTTTGTTAATTTTTAAGACGATTCTCTCTTTTACTTCTTCCTCTTCTTGTGAAGGAGCTGACTCTAGTTCTTGTGGTTTTACGATAGGTTTTATGGTGATTTTCGGACTGGTTCGTTCTTTTTCCTCGTTTGCCATATCTTCTTCTGACTTTTTGATTGGTTTTATGGTCAACCTAAAACACAGAAGTATTTAATCTCATATAAAAAATAAAATCAAAGAAAAACTTATCAGTATCCAAAAGAGTTTGAAAAAGAACAGGTATTTCATCAAAAATGTTAACAAATGGAAAATTTATTTACCTTGGATTCGTTTCTTTTTCTGAATCTGGTTTGGGAATGGGTTTAATGGTAATCCGCGGGCTTTGAAGTTGCTCAGCATCTTCATTAGATTTCGCGGCAGATTTTATCGACATTTTTTTATTACTTTCTTCATCTTTTCCGGTAATCTTAGTGTTAGCCTTAGTGTTTATTTTGATTTTCAAAGGACTAACAGGTTGTTCTTGTTGTTTCACCACTGGTTTTATAGTTATTCTAGGACTAATTGCACTTTGACTGGAACTAGTTGGTGAGTGTTTTGAGCTTCTAGTTGACATTTTAGGACTGTGTTGTTGTTCGACCTAAAATGGAGGAAAAAAGTTAAGCTATTTAGAAAATTGAAGAAAGCACAATCTGAAAAAATATTTTTCTTCAATAAAAACCCAAAATTTCATTAAGAAAACTGTGGCCTTTTCTTCATACTTCTATTAATGCGAGACTCATTATGGAGAAATGGCATCAAAAATATAGCATAGTTTCCTTTGACTAATAATAATCTTCTATCTTTATGTTCAATACATAAAGTATCAATACCAGAAAAAAATATTATTAAAACAATTGGGTATGTAGCAAAAAGAAGTGTCGTTAAAGAGATAAAAGATAATAATAACAATAGACAACTTTTAGCCTTAACTAAGAAAAAATCCTAGATGTTTTTTAAATCACAACCTACAGTATGACTGCCATCTCCCAACACTATTCCCCATCTGCTTTCAAAGACGTTCCCGTGAGAGCTTTTGATCTAAATTAGAATCGTACGCCTACAATATAGAAATAGTACACAACAAAAAATACTTAATTAAACACTAATATAAAATTAAAAAAATAGCAGGTCGGCGCAACGGACAAAATTAATTATATTTGTTAAATTTCTCGTCTATATACCGTCAATCACAATTCACAGTTGTGAATATATATATATATATATATATATATATATATATATATACGCATCTATCACCTAAGGCCCTGTGCCATTCTAAAATCTAAGGAGATTACGTCAATGAGAACTATTTCTTACTTCGATTATACTTCGATAATACTGACCTGTTGTATTTTGGGTTTGATGATTAATTTTGGAATAGGTTCTTCGTCAGGATCTAAGACTGCTTCAGAATGTTCTTGATCACTAATTTTCAATATAGAATGTGTGTTATCAGATTGTTTTGTGATAGTCATCTTTAGGCTTCCTTTGCTAATTTCAGATTCGGATGTTATAGATGTGGTCGTACTAACTTCCTCGTCGGGTACTTTTATAGGTTTAATAGTAACTTTCGGACTGTAAGTTTTTTCTTTCTCAGATACATCAACATTGATAGTTAATTCCTCAAAATTATCAGACCTTTCTGATTTTCGGTGTTTTTTAGATTTTTCAGAGCTCTTAGGTTTCTCTTTATTATGCTTAAATACTTCGGTTTGGGAGTGTTCAAGAGTGACCGAAACACTGGATTCTTCAACTTTATTGTCAGTAGTTGTTACATTTATTGTTTTTTCTTCATCCTCTGTAAAGTTAGTTTCCGGCACAGATTCGCATACTACTTTTTCACTTGTTGAAGCTTCTGAGTCATTTGCTCTTGGACCTGTAAATAAAAATGTAATATAGAATATTTAAATAAAAAGTCTGAACTACACAAAGTCTTACATAAAAATAACAATTTTATACACACATCAACAATGTTTAGGAATAAGTTAAAAAATATATATTATAAGCTTAAAAACGTAATTTATACATTAAGCTAAAAATTGGACAAGGAAAAAGTTCCATAAAAATAAAAAAGCAGTGATTTCTATAATTCTATAAATTATAATAAAAAAATTAATCACAACGTAACAAAAAGGTTCAGTGCCCTATTTATCATGAATACAGACCTACACCTCCTACTCATACCCAAATTTCGTGATCAATTGCAGCGCACTCTCTTGCTTAATTGGGTGCAGGTTTTTAGAAAATTTATAACTATTTGAGCTAATGAGGAAGAACGTTATAGATTTGAAGAACAATTTGAAGAGCAGCTACTGCATATGAAACCAAATCGTTTCAAGACTAAAGGCAAATTGTAAATGCAACTGCATTCAAAAAACTGTTATGTGAAAAGAGAGTTCTTCCTCCAATACTAATACCATAACAGTACATGGACTTTGATGTGCTTAAAGACATGCAATTGGTCCAGGCTCTCACCAACTTCTCTATATTCTTGAGTACGAAAGAAAATGAAATCGGAGCTCGCGTGTAAACAAAATTGTGGACCACTGGTTATCAGTACAATTTAGAGATTTCTAGATTTTTAACCAATACTGGACAAACTCTAAGTGGCTGTCCGGCTTGATGTAGACGTCTTCAAGTAGCTTGCAAACTCAGTTATATGTTCACTGCAGTTCAAGAAGTATCTCATTAGTACTGAGACGTATGTTTTTTTTTGTTCAAAATCAATTAAACAATAAATGGTCTTGGATTGCGGTTGTTTTTCCCGGCTGAACTGTCTCTCTCACATACTGTTCTTCTTAATTAAGAACTAAGTCCTGTTAATTCTTACAACTAAGTCTTGGGACTCCAGTGTCCAGCTTTCCTACCATCGTTTTGGAACTCTCGCAGATGGTCTCAATGTATTGGGTTTTCAGAGTTTTTCTTGCAATTTTTGGGAGCATCTCATCGTCCATTTTACTTATGCAGCCTCTCCAATTCCTGCGTCTCTGTCTAGTTCATCTTACAATATCCCTGATGCCGCATTGTTCTTATAAACTCATTCCGACTTTGTCGGTCCCTAAGAGTGTAACCAGCAATGGATCTCAGCGTTGTCATTTCAGTTGTCCTTAGGAGCTTCTTAGTTGCAGCTGTTTTAGCTGTTCTCGATCGCATGCCCTTACTGGTCTTACATATTCTCACTTTACTTCATATGCTCATATGCTTGTTCTATTGTAATTTCACGTAGGTGAAATATCATGCTGTAGATATCATGCTGCTCTGTTAGTCTATGCTTTGACTTTATTCTTGAGTTTGCTGCTACTGATAATGACTCATAGTTATTGGAACTTGCTCAAAACTTTTGGTTGTTTACCGCTAGTTTACATTTTTAAGGTTATTTGTTAATCGTGAGTGACTGTGTCGTCTCAATAGATATAACCATATTAAATATTTCCTCAATGTTATGAAACCTGTATAGTAATAGTTGTAGGTTATCTTTATCCTCCGATATAAGTAATACCTCATAAGCACACCAGCATATTTTAATTTCGTTGCTTCCCATTCTGTAACTTTTTGTTCCTTCATTAACTTGGAGAATTGGACTGAGAGTGTCTCCCTGTCTTATACCTGTCTATATAAGTATCTTCTATATAAGAGTCGGTTTTCCGCTTTTACAAATGTATAGTTGTTGGTGTTCATTTCTTTGATGATAATAGTTTAATGAGATCTGCAAATCTTACTCTGTCAAACGCCTTCGTAAGGTCCACGCAACGAATGTAAGTAGTTTTATTTAATTCAATTGTCTTCTCCAGTATCTGGCAGATAGTGGTAAGAGACAACCCGCGATAGTTTTTGGTAACGTCTTTTTCACCTTTTTTAAATACTGGGATGGTTATATTTTCTCGCCATCGGTATTTCCTTATATGTACTCAAAGAAAATATGCAGTTCCTCAGTAACATTCCACCGAACTTAAGTATTTCGTTTCTTATTTCGTCCAACCCCGAAGCTTTCGGTTTTTTAGTTGGGATAGCAATGTTTTAACAATTTCGGTTGTTAGTTGTCATCCATTAGTAGTTGTGTTTTCGTTATCCTCAAACTGGTCTTCCTCGTGATTCAATGTTTAATTTTCAAAAACGTTTTCAAAATGTCTTTCTCATTCATTTGTTGATATTTCAGTGAACTGTATGTATTCATTGATTGGTTTCTTTCGATTTCTAAGTATATTCCATACTTTTTATTGTCCTCCATAGACATTATGTTCCATGTATGCTGCAAATGTTTCCCAGTAGCTTCTTTTTATGGATTGAATATTTTCATTTACTTAATTTCTTAATATATTGTAGTCCTAGTATGGTGCAATATTGCTTTTGTACTCCAGGTATAATTTACTCTTGTTTGCTGTCAAGTTTTTTACTTCATATGTGAACCATGGTGTTTATTTGGTTTTCCGGTTTCACTATATTATTTGCGTTTTCTTAAGGATCGATAATTATTAATTTACACCATATACAATAAAGACAATAGCTACAAAATAACTAGATTAATACTCTTAAAGAAAAGTCGTATGACAAACAGCTATACAAAGGGGCGTTGTCTCGTTCGTTTGGCACCTTATTAATGACTCTAAACTTATTAGATATTCCGTGGAATTTTGTCACGTTTTTATCGCATTCCTGTTTTAGTACACCTTAGCTAGTGCAACTCTTTTGGCCAATGTCTTGGTAAATTCAAAAATTGGCCATTTATCTCAATCTTTTGGTAAAACTCCAGATTCGTGAAAACTTTGTTTTGAGATGTTTTCAATGTTACATATCTACAGTTAAATTTCGAAAAGTCAAAATTGGCCATTTTTAGGATTGGCGTTGAAAATATTATTCCGAATGTTTTGACAAATCGACAGATTCATAACAACCATGTTTTTTTTTTCAAAGTAATAATTAATTAAATAATACTAAGAAAGAAAAAATATGTACTAAACACAGAAGTTCTTTAATGGAAAACTTGATACTTTGCCCGTTGTTAGATCGGGCTCCAAGAAAAATATAGGGTATCAAAAAGTTTAAATTTTTATATGAAACAATATGAGAATTAACTTTGATGGTACACAAGGCAAATATTGAACACAGTATTTAATTAAATCTTGCCCAAGTACTTTCGATCACAAGATCATCCTCAGGGGCATTTTGTCAATTGTGGCCTATCCAGCAATACTTGGGCAAGATTTAATTAAATACTGTGTTCGATATTTGCCTTGTGTACCATCAAAGTTCATTTATTCGAACATTCAACCTTATATTTATTTAAATATGAGAATTGGTATAACATCACGAGAAGGAATAACTGAGAAAATCAAGAAATTGAACCTTTACTATGTTGTATGTATACCTTTTATGCTATGTTGACGATACAGTGATTAGAGAATGAAAATTATCTGCAATCGTTTCAAGTAGATGGAAATTATAAGCAATAAATGAGATTCAAATATTTTATATACAGGATGCGGCATTAGTGCAAGCAAGTCCATTTACTCATTTGTAACAGATAAGAAAAAAATAATTTGTAAAAGGTAACGTAAAGGTAAAAGTTGCAGCTAAGTTAGACCATAATTTAATAATATTTTCAAATATACAGCGCCACCACATATAACAAGGTGAAAAGCTTAGATTTTTACATTTCTGGACTCTTCTAGATATTCTTGTCTTTTCAATATAAGGTTTGGCAATTTTATACGAGGTAGTTTAATTACGTTTTTTCATTAATTTCGTATAAAAATTCACCATGTAGAATTAATCTCATGGCGAAAAACTACTTTTTACGAAGTAATTTGTGATATGTGTAGCTAATTGGTGTGTAGTATGTTGTGTAAGTGATATTGGAAGTGTGTAGTACTCATTTTAAAAGCCAAAGTATACAATTAAACTAGAAATATATACCTTCTGCAGTTGTCGAATCTTCACTAACGAGGCGTTCTTGAGCTTCTGTAGAAACATTAGTATTATCTGGAGCACTATCTATTTCAGGTTCTTGGATAGCAGATACTTCCTTCGCAGAATCTTCAACACTATCAACTGGCGTTACCGCTTCTGCTGTTTTGACTGCATCAGTAACGGATGTGACTACGTCAGATTCTTCGGTAGAATCTTCAAAAGTATCAACTGGTTTTTTTACTGCTTCTGATTCTGTGTCAGCAAAAGACGTTACTGCATTGGATTGTTGATCGGAAGTTGAAGATTCAGGATCCATTTGGGGTTGTTCAGAAGTAGATACCTCTTTCACATCTTGATCAATATTATTTGTTGTATCAATGTTGGAGGTTGTAATATTAGGTTCAATATCAGACGATTTAACAATAGATATATCAGAATTTGATGTTTCAACAGCATCTTGTGCAATACTTGCGATTTCAGTTTGTCGATTGGAGTTTAATGTTTCAATTTCAGTTGGTTCAGAACTGACTGCATTATCTTGTATTATTGGTTGCATTTCCATTTCATTTACTTTTTCTGAGTCAACAACAGCTGTATTTTCTGCTTCACATGTGGATTCTTGCATAGTATTTGTATCAATAATTGGTTCCTGTACTGGTTCCATTTCTGTTACAAGCATGGAAATATCTTGATCTTGGGTTTCAATTACATCCCCCTGAATCAAACATTCCGATTCAATAGTGGGCGTCATGTAATCGTCTACATATGAATTAGTAGTAGGATCGGTAATACTTTGTACAGCCATTGCCAACGCTTCCATTTCTCTTCTCTCTTTCTCACTTATATTACTTTCATCTTGTTTTGGAATGTCAATGTTTTGCAAGCTCTGAACAGCTAATATAGTTTCCAAATTATCCGGAGTATCTACTAAAGCTGGTGCTACAGTTTGAATAATCATATCTTTATCATCATTTAACATTTGTTCCATTTGTGGCAGTGGTTCTAAAACTGCTTCAGTGTCTGGTGAATGTATAACACATTCCTCAGGTGTTAGTGCCAACCTAGGCACAATTTCTTCCTCTGAGTCATCATCCTCAGATAGTTGTAATGGTGCAAGTTCTAATTCTGCTAATGACTTTCTAGTTGTAACAGTGTTTGGTTTATTTTCAATTTTATTGTTCACTGTTTCTTTATTTTCATTTAAGTTTTTACCATATTTATTTTCATGCTGTTTTTCATGATCCTGACAAGAATCAGATGTAGATTCTGTAGGCGTGTCTTCTGAGACTACTGGTATTAAATCTGTACCTTCGGGTAAAACATGTGTTTGGAGAATAACACAGTCTTCATTGGATTTTTGAATGGCTTTCACATTTATCATATCAATACCACAAGGTGGACTGCCTATGTCTAAAACTTCTGTGGATTTTGTATTATCATCCAGTTCAGTATCGCTTTTATTTACTTGTTCAAAAGTAACAGCATCTGTTGATTTTACAGATTTATCAATAATTGATTTATCGGAAACCTCTGTACTTTTGAGTGAAACATCTGTTATGTGATCAGAATTTTCATTTGACTCTACAATAGTTTCCACATTTGGACTGTTGCCGCTTGTAGCTAATACTTCTGTAGATTGTATATCATCAACATGTTCAGTTGATTTATTTACTTGTTCAGAAACAGCAACATCTACTGCTGCTATATGTTTATCGCCAGTTGAATTCTCTGAAACCTCATTAGGTATAATTGCTTCTGATTCTGGGGAAACGTCTGATTTTGACTCCAAAACTGCAATTGCCTCATCTACCGTAACTTTTGGCTCTACTTCAGCTTCGGAAGCTGTAGGAATATTTTCGGAAACTGTATTGGCATCTAGAATAGAAAAAGCCAAAATTATACAATAAAAAGTGAGAATAATGGCACACAGACGTTTTATATTATACAGAGTGAGTCATGAGGAAATATATGTACTACTTCGTCGTACAGAGACCACTATGGGAAATGCCAAATACACATTAACAAGTTTCTGCTCCCATAATTTAATAATATGCAGAGCGAGTAGTGAAATTTTACTGATATTTCTTTTGGACATAACTTTTGAACAGTAATTTCGAATTGTCCCATGCATTGGTAAAACTTTAGTTACACTACCACCACCTAAATAAATTCGGGTCCGGTTTTAAAAATTAGTTCGTTTTTTTATTATAAAAAATTCACCCTGTATATGGTTTTTAAAATTCTAATAAGGCTCTTAAAAAGTACCTACATAAAGACAACAAAAATAACGTATTTTTTTACCATACGATGACTCAATTTTTAATAAAAATTTACTATTTTTAGTATCTATTTGTATACTTTGTAACAAACAAACAAAAAAGATCAAGTTAGTTATAGGAACAACTCTAGGACTATGATAATAAGCATGAATCTAAAAAGGGATGATAACGACTTTAGCGGCTTGTAGACCTCATATTTTTTATATAAAAACTTCTCTTCAATTTGCTTGTTAAACATATATCAAAATCTTCGTCTTGGCAGACCTTAATATGTTTTTAGGTGTATTTGAATTTCCTTTTTTTGTGTCATTTTTATTAAAAAAACACTTTTACTATTATGATTTTATAATATCAACTGCGCCTCAATTTAACCAGGACACTATAATAAATATATGAAATTTGTTCCTAATTTTGATATAGTCATGTTTTTAAAAAAACTTATAATAAAATCGAAAGAAGATCTGAATCCGAAATCAGAAATTCGCTCAAGAATAGAGCAATCAAGAGCAGCCTTTTTGGTGCTGCAGATGAGGAAATTTCTGAGTAACCAAAGACTCAATCTGCAAATCCGATATCAGATGGTAAAATGTTATATCCACTCTATTCTTCTTTATGGTGTTAAAACCTGGACTATTAATGTTGACTTAATGAGAAAACTAGAAGCTTTTGAGATCTGCCTTTTTAGGAGAATTTTGAAGATACCATGACCGATCATATTACGAACGAAATGGTGTTGCACAGAATGAGAAGAGACAGAGAACTTTTGACCACCATTAAAAGGCGAAAGACAACATATTTGGGGCACATACTTAGAAATGATAAGTATGAGTTGTTGCAGCTAATTATGAAGGGTAAAATCGAAGGAAAAAGGGGTCCTGGTAGACGTCACATATCCTGGCTGAAAAACATGGCAGGAGACGAATTTCTAATGGTTATAGCCAACGTTCATTAGTGGAGACGGAACTAGAAGTTAATAAAATCCTTTAGGCGCTCATATATTTTTTAATACTAGCGAATATAAAATTTACAGTAACTTCGCGCAAAAAGCAAAGCAATCTGTGAAAGCAAAAAGCAGAAGTTATTTATGACTGCTGAATATATGTGAGTAATATTCACTGAATACGAATTTAAGTCTTATCTCCTTACACGAACTGGAATATGTCTCCTTTTTATTTGTCTCTGAAATGTTTTGTTCCTATTAGTGTCCAAGTTATATGCTAGCTCTAGCTTGTCGAACTGTAGTGGAATCATAAAAGCTAGAGGCATGTAGTCCCAAATATCTGACTTGTGAGATGATTTTTACCATTAATAAGATTACTTTAATTCATGTTTTCTTTAATAATTATAAAATACTAAATGACTACTGTCATTTGAATACTAAATGAGGATAGTGCCAGTTCATTACTTTCTTTTTCTTCAAATATATTACAATATGATTTGTATGTTATGTCGCAGAATTTTATTTCAGCACTTTTCTGAATTAACACCACAAGGACTTTCTACCGAGATGAGCACCCTCCAGGATCGACCAGCAAGCACTCAACGACGGCGACTTCCCACAACATCAAGCCGCTTTTCCTTGAACATCTGAATTTTAAGAGGAACAGAACTTTCTTTGTTTTAACTTGCTTCGACATTATAGTTAACATAAATCAGTTATGTTTTACAGTTGTTATTCTTCTTATTGATCAACCCATACATCAGTTGTTAACTTTATGAAAGAACCCACGAGCTTGGATACATAATCTCAACGCTGGCATATTATATACACGTTGCAAATGTGCGCGCGCTCTCTCTTTCTTTCTCTCCCTATGTCTCTCAATGCCAAATAAACTTTAGTATAGACCCACTGATGACATCAGACCTTACTCAGATATAAAATATAATATACTCCAAAACAATTTAAAAAAAAATAAGAAAAAATTAAGAGCAAATAAAATTTATTACCTGATTCTACCTCCATTTTTTCATCATCTTGATTAGCTTCGATATCAGGTGCTTCTACATTCTTCTCAGATTCAACACATGCGTCAGAATCTTCTTGGGTTACCTGAACTTGATCAAAAACTTCATCTATTTGCATAGATATTTCTTGACTAGTTTTAACTGATTCAGTATCATCATTTGTTATTTCACTTGACTGTGATGAGTCTTGGATATTTTTAATATTCTTGGATAGTTCTTTTTCAATTCCAGATACAGAAACAACAGCTTCCGTTGTATCTGCAATAACTTCATTTGGTTGAGAATCTTCTATAACACATTCCACTTTTTCCGACACTTCTTTGGTTTTTGATAGTGAAATATTATCAGTTTCAGTTGCATCTTTAATTGTCACACTTGATTGTGTTTTCTCCACATCTTCAATTTTTTCCGAGTTCGAACGATCGTCAATTTGTAATTTAGAATCATCTTTATCAGCTTCAGTCGCATCTTTAATTAATCCAGTTGATAGCGAGTCTTCATTGACTTCTGTATTTTTGTCTGATAATTCATCAGTTTTGGATTTAGAATCTTTATCATCTTCAGCCATATCTTTAATCACTTCATTTGACTGTGACTCTTCAAGGTCCTCTATTTTTTCTGTTAAGTGTTCTTCATTTTCAGATCTGGAAATATCTGTATCAGCTTCAGCCGCATCTTGAATGAATGCACTTGATGGTGAGTCTTCCATGACGTTTTCAATTTTTTCTGGTAATTCTTCAGTTTGTGATATGGAAATATCTTTACTAACTTCAGGTGTATCTTTAATTACCTCACTTGATTGTGACTCTTGAACATCTCCTATCTTTTCTGATAACTCTTCTTCAGTTTGTAATCTAGAAACATCCTTATTAGATTCCAATGAATCTTTAATTACTCCACTAGATTGTATTTGTTCTACATCATCGCTAACGTTTTCTGTTAATCCTTTTTCTGACTGTATTGCAAAAGCACTATCTCCTTCAGGATTTTCCATACATACTTCACTAGTTAGTGACATTTCTACATCTTCAATTTTTTCTAATAAGTCTTGATGTGTTGATGATCTTGAAACATTTATATCACCCTTAATATCATCTTTTACTTCACTTGCTTGTGCCTCAACATTATCTGATAATTTCTGTTCAGTTCGCGGTTCTGAAACAACTACATCATCAGTTTCAATTTGTTTCGATTCTTCTGTAGACACTTTTACTAACTCACAATCCATTTGATCAGTATTAATAGGTGCTGCTTTCTCCAAATCCGTGATTCCGGGTTCTTCAGTTTCAACTGGTTCTATTCCTTTTTCATCAATATATTCTATCACTTTAGAAGCTTCTTGCTCAAGTTCTGAATCATCTTCATTAGTTTTACTAATGCTTTGGATATCTTTGTCAACATTAACAGGTTCAGAATATTGATCAGTTCCAATGTTGAGTTCAGAATCTTCCTGGGTTTTTTCTAATTTTGTTTCTTCCATCTCAGTAACCTGCTCATTATTTTCTGTATCAGTTTTAATAAGCTCTGTCATCTCTACGTCACTTTGTACTTGTTCTGTCTGTGGAATATCAAGTTTAATATCTGTATCTTTTATTGATGTTTTACACTCATCTTTTTCCACAGCATCAGCTTTCATATCTTCCGTCACTTCATCATCTTTAATCTCTTTTAATTCCACCAAAACTTCTTTTGGTTCTATTAAATCAGTTTTAACCTCTTCTTTCTCTTCTATGTCAGATTCAACTTGTTTTGTGTTTGCTACAGCCTCACTTACATCTTTTATATCAGATTCAATATCGTCTTTAATGTTTTCTGTTTCTTTAGAATTTTCTCCTGCCTCTTTTTTCTCTTCTACATCAGCCTGACTTTGTACCTGTTCCATTACAATGTCATCTGTTCCTTCTTCAGTATTTTTTCTCCCCTCTGTCTCATTCACATCAACTTCTGTTTCCGTAATAATTTCTTCAGTACTGTTTATATCAATTTTAACTTCTTCTACATTAGCAATAATGTGTTCTGACTCTATTGCATGACTGTTAGCATCTACATCTTTAACAGTTCTCACATATTCTGTATCTTCTGTACTGGTATTAATCTGTTCTACTTCTTTTAAACTTGTTTTAACACTTTCTGCCTCTTGTACAACAGTGTTAATTGTATTTTGGTCTGTACTCCCAATATCAGATTTTTCATGAACTGCTTCATGTGATTGGATCTCTATTAAATCATCAATTTTTTCATTTGTTGTAGACTTTGTTTTTTCTTCCCCAGGTATAAGTGATTCAGAATCAGATTCTTCTGCAGTTTGGGGTGGCTCCAATTCCTTGAAATCATGAACGACTACAGAAACTTCTACATTGCTATTAGCTTGTTCATTGATGTTTGTTTCAACCAATTCCAAATCTTTTTGGACATTTATAATTTGCTTTACAGCTTTAGTTTTAGGTATTTCAGAATCAGAATGATCAGGATTATTTGACCCTAAATCGCCTTCATCTAATTGTGTTGCTTTTATATGCTTCTGATCTGTTTCTATCGACTCTTGATCAGTTTCCATTGGCTCTGTATCTTCATTTTCTATGACTTCCCTAACAGATTCAATTTCACTTAAACTTTTTTCAGCAGGTTCAACATCCATTGGTTCCATCTCTCCAACTTTATTTTTTGATTCTGATGAATCCTCAACTGATTTTATTGCAGACCCTTCTGATTCATCTAACTTAATGCCTGACATATCTTTGTTCTCCTCTCTAGTATTATCACGTTTATTGAAATTTTCATTTGAAATTGCTGTATCTTCTAATTTAGCATTTTTGGTTTCATGTTTCTCAGTAAATTCGGTATCCTCAGCTGTTTCTCTTTGAAAATCAGTTTTCACATTATCTTGTTCACTAAAAACTGTATTTGACTTTTCAATATTTACATGTTCAACCACATCACTTGACATGTGAACATTTATTTCGACTTCCTTAATTTCATGGCTTTCTTTAACTGATTCTAGTAAATCTGAATTCGATTTTTCATTAGGTTTCTCTGTTTCACCAACTGATTCAATATTTTCTACAATATGACTAGTAACATCAGTTTCTTTGGCAACAATCACTTCTGGTGTTGCTCTATTTTCAACATCAGGTTCAATATTTTCTTGAGTTAATTCAGGTATTGCTGCATCTAAATGATTTACATTTACGGGTGCTTTGGAAATGTCATCTGAGACTGAATTTTCAGGATTAGAAGATAAGTCTTCCTTAGATATTTCCAAGGTATCACTATTATCCAGTTTAGAAATATCTTCAGATATTTTTGGATTTGTACTTGAACCTACTGCTTCTAGATTGGATGATTCATCCTCAATATTCTGAGGTTTGCTTTCTTCTTGTTGGACACATACTTCACTGGATGATATTTCCATTTGTAACTCAACATTTTTTGTTTCTTCAATAGTAGTAGTCTTGTGAGATTCTACAAAATAAAATACTATATAAGAATTACATAAGCCAAAAAAATCTAGAATTGAAGAAATCAAATCACAGGTGTACCAAACACTATGTGGGTGATGTACAAGTACCAACCTCATAATGTAAAGTACCAAACATATCAAACGCAGCGCAGCATATGCGTATTTCTTAAAATAAAAGAAATAAAATAAATAGAATAAATAAATAAAATAAATAAAATAAATAAAATAAATAAAATAAATAAAATAAATAAAATAAATAAAATAAATAAAATAAATAAAATAAATAAAATAAATAAAATAACATCGACCTATGTTTGACAACGGGGGTGAGAGAATAGTCAATTAATATTTGGAGAACGACTTCAGAAATGGAAATCTTATTTAACTTTTATTGTGGCTTATTCACATTAAAATAGTAATTAAGTCTATTCATGGATTACGAATCTAAGGCAAACATAGTTGGAAAAGTTTTTTATGTGCATCGAACCATTTTTATTGACTATCTACAAGACAGGGTATTGAAGTTATTGTAGAGAAGATTATATAAAGATAGTTGTAGATAAAATTGTTGCTAGTTAAAATACAGACATTTTACTTGTAACCATTTTCAAATTATTAAAGGCATTTCAGTTTAGAAAACTTAATTTTATAATAGGAATTGACAAATATAAAAAATTACCATATTGACAAAATATATATTTTTTTTCTCGACTTGAAAGAACTTTCTGATTAGTAAAACCAGTAAAATAAATATATACTTCATAAGATAAACAGCATTACAGTAGAGGTTATTTCTTCCAAAAAATTGGTTTTATCCTTTGTTCTATGATTGGTAAATAATAATTAAAGAATCAAAAATTTTAAATTTAAAAAATTATATATGGTAGCTCTACATACCGCCAATCTCCGAAGGAACTGCTTCTGCTTCACAAGATGTTACCTCTAACCCCTTTAATTCATTGACACACATATCTTCGCCCGTTTTAACTTTTGAGCTAGTACTTTCTGTTTCTTTATCAACTTGATCTATGCTAGTCACGTTAATAACCTCCTCAAGCTTTTCTATATTTTCTGTAATAAGTAAATCAACTTTTCCATCTACTTGATCAGTAGCCTCAACTTGAATACTTTCAGCTTCTCTGTTCTCTTCAGTATTTAGCTTTAGTAGAGATGTTCCTGCTTTATCTCCACTTGATGTTATGTCATCTAATACATTCTGAGAATTAGCTATTACGTTTACAGGTTCTTCGACATTAACTGATGGAGTTGAACTTACTGAGGACTCCAATGCCATTGCCTCATTAAGATCTACAAGTTCCCAACTGCTTGTACTATCATCATTCGTTAATTCATTCATTTCATTACTTTTGGCATCATTAATTTTGTCCATATTTACTTCAATAGTACTTTTTGAATTATCTACTGCAGAAATATTTTCATTATTAATTGATTGTTCTTCTGAAACAAATGATTCACTTTCGTTACTATCTTTACTGTCAACAGTAGGATCAACAGTCTCATTCATATTATCACAAAGATTTTCTTCAATCCCTTTTTCATTGTTTGCAAAAGTAGGAGCGTGTGAAATAATTTCTGTTGTTTTATTCTCTATTTCAGATTGATTACACCCTTCTTCGCTATTTATAACTTCATTTTCAGTAATATCCTTACTAGAAATATCCAGGGATGAATTACTTTCAATGTTTTCATTATTTTTAATGTCTGGAACAAAATATTAATTTTTATGATACACAATTACACTATTGAAATTTACTAAAAATCATTCATACCAATTTCGATCAGCACTATATTATAAAGATCATAGAAGAGGCCATAATGTGATGTTCAATACTGATAAACAAGACATTGGCTGAAAGAATTTGTTTAATTGAAATTGAAAAGAATGTTTGTTAGTCAAATAATAAAAAAACATTTTTCAATACAAATGCAAAAAAATGACATAAGATGCTTAATTGTCCTCATAGTCAGTCATAATAGGCTTGACAATCCTTTGGAATAACACTTTATAGTTCTTGTAAGTGCATCCATTATGTTATCTTTAATCTACAATATTGATTGATCCAAGGATTATCTGTATTAAGCTTTACCTAAATGACTCCTTCAGGATTATAATTCATGACTTTTATATCAGTCAATTGAGGAGCTGCTATTGATCTAACAGGTCATAGATTTGTAGCGCTTATGATACTCCAAAGAATAATTATCAAAAAAAGTATATTCTTTATTTATATTTATATGGTGTTGGTTTGATTCTTGCTTCTTCAGTGGCTCTTAGTAAATCAGTATTTAACTAAATTTTTCTATTTTTGAGCTTATGCTCAATACAACTGTGGACTGAATCTACTTTCCATCTGAGCAACCAGTCCATGCAGTCCATTATAATTGGTATTTTTAAAGACAAATAATATGTTTAAGATAAAATAAAAAATAAGCAACAAATCATGATATTATGTTAAAATAACTAAATAATTACCTTCATCAACTTTGCTTTTTTCTGTAACCTCATTAGATGAGTTACTGTCATCAGCTGCCTTAGGTCTAATTGGTGCATCAAACGATTGTGATGTTTCTCCTAAGAGACTTTCTAAATCATGAACCAGATCTTCAACATCTTCAGTAATTTTTTCACTAGACACAGGTATTTCTAACAGCTCATTAACATTTTCAGATGGTGGAAGCTTCATTATGTCACCACCTACAACTTTATTATTCATTACTGGTGGTTTTTGGTCAAAATTGTCAGATGATGTACTGCTAATTGGATCTTCTGAAACTGAAAATATATAGATATTACTATAACGATAAATGCATTGGCAAGTTGTGTTGGTACTCTGTCAGCTATTATCGCGTTTTCAAGTTGTTAAAGTGTTCTTGTCTAAAGATAAAGGCCTTAATGCATTTGTGATGACAAAACAAGAACACCACCTTTGAAACTACCATCGTTGAATTGAGAATTATACTGATCTTTCATCCTACTACTGGCTATCTGGATATGTTGATGGGATTCAACTACGAGATATAACAATATTAGAAAGAACCCTGTATAGCAAATTATGCAAAATTGCAAAGATTGCGCTGGGAAGGTCACCTTGTATGAATGTATAATAACAGAACATCTAGTAGAACGTTTAGTGGAACTATGGTGGGACTAAGGAAGGTGGATAGACGAAGTGAAAACCAATGCTAAGAGATATTGAGGGTAGATAACTGGAGGAGAGCAGCCGAGGAAAGAGATGTTGGGAGGTGAATGCTGGGGGAGGCCAGGATCCAACTTGGACTGTAGAGCCATAGGAGAGAGGGATCTTGTCTAACTGTATAATCCACAAAAAAATTGAGTCTTTTTCCTGAACATTAAAGAAAATAGAAGGTTCATATGAAATCAAAATCTATCAAAAATAAAACTGACAATTTTCCACATAAATGTCAGCTCAAACTATACAGAAGAAGCAAGAACCCTTTAACAACATCAAAATGTAGTTAATTACTAAATAAGTTTCGCAAGGCTTATGTCAAAAGAAATAGCATATTCAGCATGATCATCAAAAAACAAAAAGATATTTTTTCTGTTTACTGTTACTCATTAAGCTGGACAAGACCTCAATATAATTAAAGGGATTTAATCTTTATTTAACAAAAAGTTCGATTGCTGGGATGAGCTGGTAATGTTTTGTTTAAAAGATGAAAATTAATTGATGGCAACCAAAAGACCTCTACCAAAAGTGAGAGTTAAAGAGCATATTGCACCCATTAACTGATTGATAAGCAAGGTATTAGATATGCATTTTATTTTATTAATTGAATATTTGTTTTGATTGTAGGGTAAGTGGATGATCCTATGGTATTAATCCTCTATAATTTTTTACCTGACATGTATTGGAATATAATATGTGAGTTTATTTAGATACTCAGGAACTAAAACAAATTTTGCTTGTATACAATGACTTCTTGCAATGTATGCCATACACTAATGGCCAAAATTCAGAAAACTTTACAATAATTATTGTTTCTTCGGCAACACTCGTCTTATTAACGTGGTTTATCTAGTTTACCAATACAATATGTGTATTTTATTATGTTTAATATTATTATGTATTTCTCACTCTATAAATATTTACACAATTATTTAATATAATAACGAAACAGATTTAAGCGAAGCGCCGAAAATTCGAGATTTGTGAATGGTAACACTGGCAATACTGCATCACGTCAGACTTTCGCTAGTCAGTCAAAGACGAGTGGCATAGCTTAGACGTCCAAATAGAAGCGTTTAGTACGGTTCCGTGAGACTTCCAATGTTTATTAGTGACTTCAGGCAGTTGTTACTACGAAGATAAGAGTTGTAGCAGAAGAAGGTAAATTCCTTCCAAACCAACACAGATTTTGTAAACGGTAAAAACGGCCGTTAAGACGACCGGGGCCACGGAATCAGTCAGGTCGATGAGGAGTACCAAAGATGATAGGCTTCTAATCACTCTAGAAAACGATCAAGCTGCCTAAAACAATTTAGGTTTGAAGGCCTTCCAGTTAGGCGGCGAGGGAAAGTACATTACACTACACATTAGGGGCATGTCAGAGGACGCCACAAAACAAGAAATAATGGAGGCCTTGAATGAACAAGTCGGCAAGCGGGAGGTCACCTACATAATAGGTGACCTAAGGCCGCTACGAGAAGACACCCAGGCAACTACACTGGTAGTTCCTGTGAGGGTGGCGGAAGTTATCCTCGGTAGAGGGTATACCAGAGTGGGAATAGTTAGATGCCAGGTAGAAAAACGTCTGAGAGTTTATCAGATGCAGTAACTGCTGGGCCTATAGCTATCAAACGGCGAGTTGCAGACTAGACCACAGCCAGCGATCACTTATCGCTGTGGAAAAAAATCACGGCGTAAAAAAGTGTCTGGGAAAACACTGGTGTATTCTGTGTAATGCAGAACACAGAACAGGAAGTATAGATTGTCCAGAATTTCGGGAAGCCCTGAAAACGGCCTGAAATGCGGAAAGGCACGGGACCAAGTTAAACCCACCTTCTATCCCCTCTAGTGTACCCATACAAACCAGCGGGTAGGTACCCGTCGAAGAAGTCGAGGTCTTTGAGAACTCTCTTACGGAGGAGTTTTCGAAGGCTTGCGACAAAATAAAGACGACGCTCAGTGTTCAATTTTTTCACATGCAAAAAATCATGTCATTTTTCGATGTATTATTAACTATCCTTCTATCACAATTTTACAATTATTATCTTAGTCCAACCCTTGACAACCCTTCCTACGCACATTTTAACCCCACTCCATTACGAATACAGACAGTTTTAAAATAGCAAAGAAGAAAGCCGTGGTCTTGGTTAAAGTCATAGTTTCGAAACTGAGAGTGGCACAGAGACGAATGGAACGGTCTATGCTGGGAGTGACGTTGAGGGACCGAATAAGAAACGAAGATATGCGAAGAAGGACGAGTATTACTGATGTTGTGGAACGCATAGCGGAACTAAAATGGAACTGGGCAGGCCATGTAGCGAGAATGCACGATTCACGATGGACGAGCAAAATTACAAATTGCAGGCCAAGAGTAGACAAACGCAGTAGAGGAAGACCACCTACACGTTGGGCCGACGACATCAGGCGTATCACTAAAAATTGGCAACAAAGAGCACAAAATCGTGAGGAATGGAGGAGTTTAAGGGAGGCCTATGTCCAGCAGTGGACGTGATAAATAGAGGCTGGATGATGATGATGATGAAAGAACAAAGACACTCTCTTGATTTGATTGCCGCTAGGGCCAGTCGTGCTCTCTTAATTATCGGCTGCCGCTAGAGACAGTCGTTTTCTCTTCCCTGTTACCTAACGCTTGCTACAGGTATCTCTCTTGTCGTTGAGGACGGCCCACACTCTCTCTCTCTCTCTCTCTCTCTCTCTCTCTCTCTCTCTCTCTCTCTCTCTCTCTCTCTCTCTCTCTCTCTCTCTCTCTCTCTCTCTCTCTCTCTCTCTCTCTCTCTCTCTCTCTCTCTCTCTCTCTCTCTCTCTCTCTCTCTCTCTCTCTCTCTCTCTCTCTCTCTCTCTCTCTCTCTCTCTCTCTCTCTCTCTCTCTCTCTCTCTCTCTCTCTCTCTCTCTCTCTCTCTCTCTCTCTCTCTCTCTCTCTCTCTCTCTCTCTCTCTCTCTCTCTCTCTCTCTCTCTCTCTCTCTCTCTCTCTCTCTCTCTCTCTCTCTCTCTCTCTCTCTCTCTCTCTCTCTCTCTCTCTCTCTCTCTCTCTCTCTCTCTCTCTTCACTTATCAAGAACAGCATCTCTCTTGGTTGTTTTCTATCGCTAATTATCTCTCTCCCGCTTTAGTTACGCGAAAAATACCGCATATACTATTTTAAATCTCATGATATCAGTGTAATTACCGCGAAACACGTGTTTAGAAACCGGTGTCCGGACATATTCCGCATAAGAAGAAAAACCGCGGGTGTATGGAGCAGAAAAAATATTGGTAAGACTTTGTATAAACTTAATTATATTGTCTGTATACCCTTTACTACATATCCTAATTTATTTGAACCAGCCCTATATAATACAGTCCACATACACTGAAATTATACTCATAATTTCCCACATATGTACACCCTTTTTGTACACTCAGCGAGGCTCGCACACCTGAGGGCGTAAAGCAGAAGGTGGATGAATTGTCGCCGAACATCCAATAATCTTGTAATAGTCACAATAGTCACAATCACCCATCTAAGTGACCTAATACGCTAGTGGTAGAGACTAAAATCGCTTCGAAATGAACAAAGATATTAAAAATACTACAAGTCAACGTCGGAAGAGCAAAGACAATACATGACTTAATTTACGCAAAAGCTTTAGAAATTAAAGGCAATCTCTTGATTGTCCCAGAACCTAATAAGAGAATAGCTACGAATAAAGGCTGGACATATGATAATAATGTAAGCGTAGCCATAAATATACTAAACAAAATGGTGTGCGTCAATAAAATAGTAAGAAAAGAACGGAATGTAACAATAAAAATTGATACGATAACTGATGAATTCGACCGTTACTTGATGGAAATTCATTTTATGTAACAATAAAACACTGAAAACTTTGTTTTTAAACTTCCACAAAATTTATTTTAACTATTATCACTACAGCTGTTTCGGCTGATAGCCTTTCTCAAGTGATCTATTTTTGGCATGCGTTTACAATTTATAGTCTCTAATGAAATAGGTTGAGGAGGGGAGAACTGTTTGTCTCAAGTTGGTCATTCAGAATTATATCTGTGTTTTTTAATTTATTGATTTCCATAGATTCTAACAAAGATAGCTTAAGGCCTTTATTTTGAACGTGAAGAATTTTAAATTTGTCATTGAAAGAATGATTATGATCTAGAAGGTGAAGTGCGTATGTCGAATCTGTTTTTCTATTCTTGAAAGCCCTTTTATGTTCTGCTATTCGTTTCTCAAAGTTTCTACCAGTTTGACCGATGTAAGTTTTTGGGCAGTCGCCACATTGAATTTTATAGTATTTCCACCATTAGAGAAAAAACCCAGTACCTTCTGCTCGATTACATATACAGGCAAAATAACAACAAAAATTGCCAAACATATAAAAAAGAAAGGAATAACACCAGCTTTCCGAACAAATAACAACCTAGGTAAATATATTAAAAATAACAAGAGCCAAAATAAAAAACACTTAAATAGTGGTGTGTATAAAATTCAATGTGGCGACTGCCCAAAAACTTACATCGGTCAAACTGGTAGAAACTTTGAGAAACGAATAGCAGAACATAAAAGGG